TCAACCTTTTCTCAGCAGAAAACTTTCAGAAATTATCAGAAAACATCGTATCATTCGCGTTTTAACTCAAGTCTGTCGAATTTAAAAATAATCTCATTAGCAAATGACACAACAAAATAAGAAAACGTGAGCCTAGTTATAATGACTCTCTAGAAGATGCACATCATGAAAGTTCCGCTTTTGACATGTTAATTGGACGATTCTTGGCCACAGTGAGTTGACAAAGACCTCGTTAAATTCATTGGTAACAAACAGTAGGCCTATCTCAGTCCTGCTAAATAATGGCTTTAAATGATAAATGATAATTATATGCTTATAAAATAATTAGAAATATCAGATAGGCTAATTTGATTTAGGGACTAAAAGCACTTTGGCGAGATATATTTGTGCGCCTCGGGCCCGTGATTTTCGCGGGAGAGAGGTGCTCACTTTGCCTTGAGTATAACATTTAATCTGATAAGACGCCTATTTGCCTAAGAATTTTAATTGGGCTTTTTTAATGACTTCAAGCTTCTTCACCTTGTTGTCTCAAGTTCCTTCAAAACTTTATTACAACTAATTGCATTATTTTAATAAAAAGAAAACATTTATTTCTTAGCCCTAATTCATGTTAAATTATTCTCCATTTTGTCAAATAACTTTATATTATATATAAATTATATTATCACAGGGGAGAAGCTTTTTTTATGAGAGAAAAAATGGTTGGATTTCTTCTAGAATTCTGATGATATTTTATGTGTCATTCAAATGAAAATATCAAATGGGTAATATAAAACAAATAGAAACTAACAGGAGAAGCAGCCAACCCGATCTCATTAAAGCGTTGATTACAGCTTTAATAAGTATTAAATAAAATAAAAAATAGTAAACGGCAAGTAGTAAACCAATGATATCTACCTTTTTGCTTCCCTGCTTGTCCTGTAAAATCACGCGAAACGTCGAACATCAGCCATAGGGTTAAAACAAAACGGAGAAAAAAGAAAAGGCAGTCAGGTGCTTATGAAAATGACTTGACCAACTCCATGATGACTGATTCAGCTCCCGCTCTTTGTACTGGATATTAAATTATGCCGTAATAAATGAACCTGGACCCGACAAATCTTGTATTTACAGGGCTTTTTGCATGATGATGTGACCTCGTGTTCAACGCATTTGCGCCCAGACACTGCGTATTATTAAAATTCGGTCTGTTGTCTCACATGCTATTCAGTTTTATTTTCTTTATTTCTTGAAGCTGCTACCAATTTGGGGGAAAAAATGTGTAGGCCTATATTCAGGTGATTTTTATCAATTATAAGTAGCCAAATCACTCTTTTATTTCTTAGATCAAATTTTATACAATCTAAAAACACAAACCATTACAAAAATACCATGATTATTCTGGACCTCAAATAGACTAAAATATAATATGAATGATAGATTTTAGTAAACCTAAAAAAAAAACACTTTTGCCTCTGGAATTTCAATGCGCACAATTAAAATTTCTGTGCGTAAACCTGTTTTACGCACAGACATTTTAATTGTGCGCATTGAAATTCCATAGGCAAAAGTTGTAGAGTTCGATTCTTGTTAAACGCACTGATGGCTGGACTGGATTGTTGCTCTGTATTTATTCTGGACCCGCAAAATTCTTCAGAGCGCTCTCACTGCCTGCTGTGGATTATTGGCCATGGCGCACCGCAGAGCCATTAATTACCAATTCAGTCAATATGAGGGAGACGACAAAGCCTTTTCCATAGGATTAAGAGGACATTAGATTCTTCCATTAGTATATTCCTCCTCACGAGGAGGCTTTCATTACACATTTACTTTTCCCCCGAGTCTATCTAACAAGCGCTGCATATATTACTGCACAGGAGACGAGATTGTCGGTAATCAAGTCGCTCGAATGTCTTTTCCCTCTTACTTTGCTGTGTGCATTTTTATGCACTTTCTCCTTGTATCCCTTCTCTGCTGAAACTGCATCGGTTCATATAGCCTATCATACCATACCATAGCTAATGGGAAATGGCAAACTAATGCTATGCGACTAAATAAGTTTTGTGGTTTGTTCTCAGTTTGCTTTAATTAGCTTAATGAAGATGCCAGATGATAGACCCGCTATGCACGCATTAAGTATCAGCATGTAGGCCTACAGGTTTCCCCCCAACAGCTTTAATTTGATTTGTCTAAGTTTCTTTTAGAATTGTCCTTGTGCGGCAAATTATACAGTAGCCTATACTGGAGAAAATGGTGCATTGGATTTTTTTTTTGCGTTTAATCTACCTGCGTCTATCAGACTGAATGACATTTATATTAGGCTACTTATATCAAATTTGTATTTAGAATCTTGTAAGAGATATACGTTTGCATAATTTCATTGAGAACGGACTTGATAACCTATAACTACATTACCAAGCATTTCGAAGAATCAGATCAGTATTTTTATTTTTATTTTTTTATTCAAGATTTTTTAGAAACCATAAATCTCTAAAATGAGACAGAATTTGGCTGTAAAATGATCAATTCCCAGTCAGGAGCTGCTACGGGTTATCTTGTATGATACTGTTCTACCACCAGATGTCCATCTTTGACTATAAACGTCCAATGGCACTGAGTTCCCTATAGTCATAAGTCAAACACTTGTGTTTTACTGGTGTTTTACTCACACTTTACTTTTACAGAGCCGTTTTTATACCTGCGATATTTTAAAGGTCAGACAATGTTGAGTTTTTTTTGTTAAACAAATTAAACGTATTAATGAATCCAGACCTTCTCTGGAGAAAAGGAGGGTGGCTCGTCGTTCAAGATCATCTTACCTAATTGAGCACAGGTTGATGCAAGTTTGCGGCAGTGGGAGTCCATTTGATAGATTACTTTGAGAATCTGTGAAAAAAGAGAAACGTTAATTTATTATTTTATAATATATATATATATATAATATTTATATTATATCAGAATAATCATGTGTTTCGGCCAAATTCTGTTTGAGTGTGTTTAACATGTCCATCACTTAATACAGCTATCTGACCTGACGGGCCACTGATATACTTCAAATCTATTGTAATATATTGGATGGTTCCTGTCTATAATTGGATGTGCACATTCCTCATAATTTGTTTTGAAATCCCTTAGCGCTTGCTCGAGTCCCTCCTAATTAAGACTCGAGTCTCCAAACGCACACATGAAAACAACGCACAAAGAGAGAGAGACAGTGCACCGTGTGTCGGTGAGAGAAAGAGAGCAGTTTGAGCGCACGAAGTTGAGTGATTCCGCGGTAAAATCAGAGGATTAGTCTCTGATTGAGATGTCTGTCGGTTGGATATTACAAAATTCATTATCGTAGCTCTATACTAACCCGATATGAAGTAACACAGATGGGCCTTTATTAGCCCAGGCTTCAGCTGTTTGCTTATGATAATTTCAGTCGGAAATTTGCATGCAATCCTGCTGTTAACCGTTTTCCCTCTCCATTTTTCTCTCTCCGAATGCAACGCTTTATTTTAGCCCTCCCCGTATATCACCTGCATGCCCCGCAGTCGCATCTGTGCCTTTAGTCAAAGGCTTGAGACTCTGGAAATTAAATTTGTGTGCGTTTCTTTGTATAAGTGTGCTGAGTAGGCCTAATATGCAAATATCCTAATATGCAAATATAATGTGATGGTGAAAGTCATCTAGCTAAATTCTATTTTGAGATTATAGCACAAAGTAAGTGTTTATAAATAAGTGTTTAAATTATTTACCATTCTAAGTAGTGCAAATGAGAAATGACCGAGTAAAGTAGTTTCTTTCGTTCTTCTGAGTGGGTAGGCCAACAGGGCACCCGTTCCGTTTTACGTAACTCGGCTACTCTTTTATATTTGTAGGTTTGTTTTGTTCCATAAACCTGCATTTTATACAAACGTCATGTTAAATATGTACTCTGGCAAGGTAAGTTTCAAACTGGAAAAGGTAAGATAGACACACACACACACACACGTGACAGTGAATAAGATTAGGCTATAATTTGGGCTACATCAATGCGTGGCTATTAGTGGCTATTGAAGCGCATCAACAGAGGAAAACTTGTAGATTTTTGTAATGCAATTCTTTTTTTTTATAATTTCAGTTGATTTAAAACAGTTTACACTAACAAGAACAGAGCAAACTACTATAACTCATGTTGATATTTTTATTATTATTGTTGTTATTATTTGTTCCAATGATTAATTGGTGGTAAACTTTATTTTTATTTATCTTTAATTGGTAATATTGTTTTTAGTTAATATTAGGGATAATACCATAATAAACGTAGTCTTACGCTTAAAAAATATCGATAAGATGATTTACTTTAGTGTTGCTTGTGTGTGATTTTTTTTAAGCGAAACTTGATTTACAGCTAATTAAACAAAATGAAAAATACTGTATTAGTTTACGTAAATATTTAACCATAAGACAAAAGCTTCTGATCTTCAAAAATTAACTGGTTTGTATCTGCATAAATGTAAATTTTATTACCGAATATTATGAATAATAATTAAATTTTCATCTTTTAATTTAAATGCTTAATTTAGTTACCCAATTCATCGCAAATGTTAATACAAAAATGATTCATTTTAGTAAGGTTGCTACGAGTTGGCTATTTAAAAAGCAGTTAAAACCCGTAAGCTATATAAAGTTTGTTTTGAAAGCAAATTTCGTTAGCATGATTTATTTCTGCTGATAAAAACCCATAATACATGTATTAATGTAAATTACACGCTTTAAAGTTGTCCTTGTCCCGTTTTCCTCGCAGTGTTAACGATATATTATTATCAACTGCAAAGTCAAGGTGAGACCTGCCAGAGCATCACTTATCATGCCTCTCCATCTAACTACACTAAAGCTGAAGTTCACCCATGGCTTGCAACCCTGAGGTGGAACGAATTCCTTCACTTGCATTGTCTCACATTCAAGATAGGGTGTCATGTGCTCTTACCAGTGGTTGTTGAAAAGCGGCGCTTTGCAGCCGTGCCAGTCTTGATTTTCTTTTTTTTTTACAAAAAGATAAATTCCACACCTCCGAACAAGTTTATCTTTGTCCTTGATGATGTCCGGGTACATAAACTGTTGCTACAAGGTCCAAAAGGAACGTAACCTCTTCTTCCCCAGTGAGAACGATTAGGGATATTTCTGGGTTCTTTCAAAGAACACGAAAACAGACATATGTTACCTTAAACCCAGAGTGTCTTAAGCTACAAACTATTAAGTTGCTTTAGCAACTCATATTTTCTGCAGAGCCTCCACGACCGCAACTTTTTTCCGCACAAAGACGCAGAGAGTGGTGCATTTCCCCCCCTCTCACGAGCTTTGACTGTCAGCGCGTGGGCGTGAGTGAGAGTTTGTGTGTATAAGCGCGTGCGTGTGCATGCGTGCCACAGTGGGTGTGTTTGTATGCACAACCAACGCGTCGAGTGTGTGTAAGGGGTGAACTTTGTGATGCGAAACGGTAGGCTAAATTATACAACAAATCAGCCATTAAAACACTATAGGCTACGTTAACGAACAATATCAACCCGATGAACGCTAAAACTGTCATGGCTAAATATCAATCAAATCAAGATATTGTATTTATTTTAAATGGCTGACAATAAATGGGTAAATACATGTTATGGAGCAGCAGAAATACAAATACAGAATGACATTTTAGAAATCCAAAAAATGTTTAAATGAACACGCCTAGGCTAAAGTTCAAAGGTTTTTTTCTACTACTGTCTTTTTTTATTTAGTTGTGTGTGTGTGTGTGTATATATATATATATATATATATAGGCTATATATATATATATATTGTTTGGCTATTTTTAGCTAGCCAGCTATCCTAAATAATCTTGACAGTCTACTTAGTTTTTTATAAAAGTGAGAAGGCCTATTTGCAGATGAGATGCTATTATCCGCTGTCAATAAATTGAGTATGTTTGATTTGATTTATAATTTTTTTTTTAATATATAACCTAACAATGCTATAATTTAAAATAACCTACTAACTTCTGTTGAAAAGTGTGTGTGGGTTTAAACAGTTTCGGACAGGTTTAACAATGAAGTGAACAGCTGGCTTGAATGCAAACGATCTTTAAAGATCCGCGTGCACCGGACTGGTTTCCATCTGCATCTCACGCGAGCAAAGCAGACCGGACGAAGGTTTCACGCGCATAATCCGTTTTTTACATTGTGGGTCATACACCCATTACGCGAGTAATTAATGCGCTCGGCCATGGGGGAATTCCCAAGCCTGTGTTGGAATACTCTCTCTTTCACAGCGTTAATAGGCCTGGGAGCCTAAAAATGACATGCATGTTTATCTATAATTCTGCACAGTGATGGTTATTATCTGCTGCAATTATCCTGTAGGTGTTACAAATAGGCTATATCAAACAAAAACTCTCAATGACCATCTTTTTGTTTGTTGCAAATAAAATCAAGTAGATTCATCTATAAGCACCCCTCAACCTCCGTAACTACATGCAAAGTGTATTTAAATTGTTGCTTCAAAATCCTAAAATACCATAGGCCTATATTTGATAATTTTCCAATAATTTGTTAAAGATGTTTTTGTAATCGTTTAATACGGCTTAATTACGAAAATTGTTTAGTAACCACTGTCCTCATTTCCGTAAATCAGCCTTAAAAAAAAAGTTTTTTTCCACAAAAATACCTTTTCGATAGAAAAGCCGTTTGCTGTCATTTTAAAGACCACATAAATCTGGTGAACCATAATAATAGCCTATAGTAATAACTTTTTTAATCGTGCTACCTTATACAGCTAAGAAAATTGATTAGAGGGTTCTTATCTAAACCTGAGGTGCATTTAAAGAACCGTTGAAGAACCCTCATATTTTGTGATCAAGTGAATGTCGATCTCATCCGAACAGCGGTTCCGTGGGAGCGATGCGTCCTTACATCGTTCGTTCTTACCTTCATCTGGCAGCAGCTGGAGCCTTCTTCTTTCTCACGCTGAAAAAGCCTTGCAAAGGAATGCCCAAAAGTTCAGAAAAAGGGGTCGCTCGAAGATCTTCATGCCTCGGGGGCAGACCGGCGGCTTCTTTACATTTCTGCCTCGTTATCGATTCGCTGTTGTCATCTTCGGCGTCGTAGAAGGACACTTGGAAGAATATCGCAGAGGGCTCTAATGTGTGGGCTGAAATGACCCGAGCAAAACTCCGTTCAAAGACTTCACAAGCACACACACCTCTCCATGATAAAACTGATGTGGTGCATCATTTTTAATTGATAATATAATATAAGTCGTGGATATAAGTATAATATAATATAAGTCGTGGTCAAAAAAGGTGAACTTTTGAGTGATGTTTGCATGCTTTAATTGTCCAATAGATGGTACATGCACCAGCCAATAGTTAAAATAGCATTCAGAATCATATTAGCCAAAATCAGTATATTAACTTCTGAAACTGGATCAGTAAAGGTGATGCAGTGCATGGAACTATTTCCAGCTTTTGGTTCTGGACTAGTTTGCATGGATAATTTTGTGTCTTCTGAGATGTCACTGTATCTTGTTTATCTTAGTAACAATATAAAATAAATGACAGAATATTTCTCATGCCCCCATAAAACGGTTATTTTACTAAAATGAAATTGTCTTTGTTTTCAACATATTTCTTGGTACAGTGCACAGATTTGACTAATACTGGCAAAAGACAGAAGGTGTGAAAGATCTCTTTCTATCACAGTTTAGACCCCCTGACATGCTGGGTAATTGCTTCAGCATAACAAATTATTTTTTGCTTTTGTTCAGTTTGGATCATTTAAGGGTGAACTAGATTTCACACAAGGAATCAATTAAACATGGCTTAGTATGTCAGGCTGTGGGCACAAGAAATAATTGTATGTTTCATTACGATACTATTCAATACACAAGAAGCTCTGTTTGCTCAACCAGAAAACTGCTGTAATTTGACAGATTATTGATTTAACCCAGATTATAATCGCAGTGCTGCTTCATAGATTATATTCAAACAATTACCGTAAACAGGGGTTGTCACACACTACTGTCTTCACACAGTTTTTATGATATTTCCAGTGTTGCTAGTCAAAGTAGTGCAGACAAAACCACAAACTATTAAACAAATAAGTTTACGTACTGATAATATGTTAGACCAGCAGTATTACCATGCCAGGAGACTTTACATTCTTTATGATGGCTATACTTTTTATCAGCAAGAAAGATAGACCTGGAGGGGAGCAATGGAAAAGTGCCTGATGAGGGAAATAAAGAAAAGGGGAAAGAGAGAGAACATTGTGAGACAACATCTCAAGACATTGTGAATTTCCATTTTTGATTTGTAAGATTATCTGATATGCTCAAGAGCCCTTCATTAGCATGATGGCTGTTTTAACGACAGTTCTTGAATGGCTAAAAAGGATTTCAAAACTAGCGTCCAGAGCGTGAGAATATTCTGGAACGCATAATGCCATTGCATATATATGCACTGTGGTTAACATTTACTGTCATGACCAGGCCTATGAAGGACAAATATGGCATGCAGTAGGAGTCAGTACCTACACACACACACACCACATTGAACCCAACAACGCTGTAGTATATATTTAAAAAACACTCAGCTGTTTGTCTTGGGCCGATATGGTATTAACATCTCATTTACCATAGCAAAAACTTTCACTGATGTAATGTGGTTTTGAATGTTAAATGATTTAATAGCTTCTAGTTTATTGCAATGGATAAGGCAGCGTTACTTCAGGTTAAAACAGTCTTCCCATTTTTTTTATTTTTTTTTTTACAAACGATATATATATGTATTAAATATAATATATTAACTTTTTTTTAGTAGAAAATATGTATGTAAGCACACCGTGTTAATTACCGATGCAGGGGGACCAATAAACAGCTGGAGTGAGCGAGTGAGAGTGGTTAGTTGTGGTGATGCCCCTGGGTTGCCGGAGGGAAAATTGTCCAAGAATGAAATTGAGGTAATGAGACAAACATGATGGACGCCAGCACTCGGTCATCAGCAAAAGAGATCAGATGGTTACTGAACCATTGACAACAACTGCTCAGGTGCACCTCAATCCTCCACTAGAATCAGCTTAGTGTTTAATTAGTCCACTGTGGCTGAGAGAGACAGACAGATAGAGGGAGACATACAGTGAAAAGGAAAGGTCATATTATCAATATTGACAATGCAAGCATCTTTTGTGCTTGCTTTTACCTTGATGCTGAGAATATTATGTTATGTTACGTTCATTCTGGCACCTCCAGAGGTACTTTGATACACAAATCAGCTCAGATTTACTATTTGGTTGTGCGTTAATCCTCGGGTGAGACACTGTGTGAGTGTTTGTGTATGAAGGGTAGAGAGACAGTCTCTTTGTGGGGGGTTGCTTAATCCAGTCCCTATGTGAAACTGTTGACATTTGTGCCTTTTTTTCTTCATTATGTGCCTGTGCCTGTTTTCTGCTGGATTAGCCCCAAATCTCCTATGCAACACATCCAGCATGCCACAACTTTAACTTCATCAATAATGGATGAAGAGATTGTAATCTGAAATCATCAAAGAAAGTGTGAGAGGGGGACAGTTGCTCTCCAACGGTGCAGTTTTTATTTCAAGTCTACCTCTAAATTGACGATAGCGACTACAATCATTTCTTTGGGCTGGGTAGTTTGTGCCGATCGATACTTGCAATATATGGCAGTGGAAGTGGCTGTGGATGGCAGGAGGGAGAGTGGGGTGTGTGTTCATATGTGTGTTCATGTTTGTCAGAGTGTATCTTCCCTGTGTGTGCTATACTGTTTCACATTGATTGTGTTTACTCAAGCTTCTCATTGCTGCCTATTACTGGAGACAGGAAGACACGCCCTGCCCTGATGCGAGGATAAAGGAGATTAACACACACACACACACACACACACGCACAGAGAGAGATGGATCAATCTTTACTTTAATATAATGACACATCCGTGATTTGTGTCATTTTCCTAAAGATTTCTGTTTTGTCAAATGTTCACGACTGTCACAGAAATTAACAGTTCAAGTTTTAATAAATGCCTCAAAAGCTGAATAAAGAGGCTGGTGTGATGTTCATACTGTATGTATCGTTTGTGGTCTGTTTGACTGCATGAGTTGAATAATTTATAGTTTTTTTTTACTTTTTGACTTTAGAAAATACACAGTGATTCTATTTCATATACTGTCATGAGACAAATGTTTTAATACCCTGTGTTGACGTGTATGTGTCATCATGTGATGATCGGAGCACCAACATCCACCATTCTTGAAAAGTGCGGCAAATGCTATTTATAAAAACTCCATTTTACCTCTGTTTCACCTAAAGCACTAAAAGGAAGTAAAAATGAAGACAGAGAGAGAAAAAAAACTTAAAATGTTTGTTCTCCCTATTGAATCTTCAGTTTTGAGGACAATCTTTCTCTAGTTTCCAAAGACCTTGGATAAACTCCTCAAGATGTATTTCAGGTAGTGTGACAGGTGGACACAGGTAGTGTCATAAGTTGAAATAATTTGGGGAATTTAAGAAAATGATAATATTATCTGGAGTGCAGCAAGTAAAATATAGTAATACATTAAAAATATATTTGTATTAAAATATGGTTACTTAGAATGGCATATGCTCTTTCCTACCCTTTAATGAAATAAATAGGAAATAAAAAGGAAATTTGTACACCACTATTCAAATGTTTGGGGTCAGCATGATTTTTTTTCTTCTTTTTATTAGCAAGGATGCATTAAATTGAGCAAAAGTTACAGTAAAGGTATTTATAAAGTTACAAAAGAGTAATATTTAAAATAAATTGAGTTTTTTTTTTACTTTTTACCCATTTATTAATGATCTTGAAAAAATGTATCACATTTTCCACAAAAAATATTAAGTAGCACAATTGTTTTAAACTGATATTTTAATCAAATATAAATGAAGCCTTGGTGAGCATAATAGGCTTCTTTAAAAAACATTACAAAATCTTACCAACCTTAAACATTTGAACGGTATACTGTATGATCTGAAGTTATTTCAGATTATCTCATTTCTAGTGGAAATAGGAGAATGATTTTATGTTGTTTGTGATGATAAAATAGAAAGAAAAAGCCTGCCGATGCTCCCATCTAGTCACACACATACAATAATATACAAATCGCATAAACAGCACACAAAAATATGCACAGTAGCACAGGAATCACATCTACTTTTAATAATAGGAGTATCACTAATTTACCAAACCCAAATTTGACCAAGCCTGTGTTATTTTCGTTGGACAAGGACCCATATGTATAAAGTATCTCAGAGTAAGACACTGTAACTCTAAGATGCTTAGTACAAATAAGCATCGGTCGCTAAGATTAGATGAGGTTGTGATGATTCCACAAGGCTCCTGTAACTCAGCCATCAAAGCCACTTTAGTGTGGATCAAAGCCTTTGTGCTGGTGCATGGGTGCGTGTGTTGTGTGTGCGAGAGAGAGCTAAAGTCCCATTCATTTCAGCAGAGGCCAGGGTTAAGCATCATTCAGACTTTAATCTAGCATGGCCTGCTCCTCTGAGCCTGTTCATTGTTGGTATGATGTTTCACTCACAAGCATCACTGCAATGCGTTTGAAGTATCTGACCCACTTATGTGCTTGTAGTTGAATTGTTTTTGACTTTGCTTAATGGTGGAAGGATGTTTCAATAACATTGGATATATGTATGCATATTTGGATCAGAGCTATTTTCCAGGTGTATTTACCACTATACTAGGTCCAACAGATGAGCAAAACATCAAAATCACTGCAAGTTTACCTTATGATCTTTTCATCTTTATATGCCCTTACATACCTGCATCACAACCAGCTTGAAAACTCTTAAAGTCACTATAAATGTCTGAACCAAAGAAGTTCCCGGAACTTGCGCTGCATCGTATGACGACACTTTGGGGAACACCTTCAGCGTGACAGTGCCTGAAGCACGTGTGCAACTAGTCCAATTCTGATTGGTGCTGACGGTGTAACGCGGAAGCTACCAAGGGAGCCGGCAAAACAACAGTGCATACACACAAGTTTGTGAGTTGCTTGGGCTGACTGTGCACACTGTGAAATTTGAGATGGCTTCGGCCCTTTCTCAGTTCTTAACCGTTAGCTCCAGCGCTCAAACTCCGGATGTGGAAGCCAGCTCTGCTTCCACTCTGAGTGTGAACTTGATGT